TAATGCAATATAATATGGTATACATGAAACATCTGTCTAGCACCAAGATTTTTAACGCTGTAGCGATCTGGGAAGAATAAAACACACCAATGTTGCTCCGCAGAATAAGTGGATTTGCGTATGTACACCTAAGAAATATACCCTCATGGTCGGAGAATATTGCAAATTAGATGCCAAATAAATATTCGTAAAGACATGTAACAGCCTGAGCTGAGTAGGACAACAATCTACTTCAACAGCACTCAGTACACTTGATTCAGAGGTGAAAGTTAATCGTCATATTCTAGGACGAAGGAAATCATAGCTAAACAGTCAACCTGTCAGTCACAACTTTAGTTGGAATTCGAACAGTTCAAGATCACAATGAAGTATATTTTCATCATCGATCCGTGTATCAGTTCCTAATATTCGGTACTGGATCACTTAAGGAATATGGAAATAAGTTCGACTGATTTTTGAGAGTGGGTTTCGCTCGGCATGACATGAAAAACAATTGTGCAGGGCCAAAGTTTCTTTATCCTGTCTGTGTGTAGCTTGATATACTTTTTGTTGACGAACGGTCATCGTCTCTTGAGGATGTTGAATGACATAAACGCAATTTGTCCGAATCGAGTGGGTTCAGTTCTGGTACTTCCAGCTCACAAGGTTGCATTCCAAGTATTTGCTGAATAAATGTTTCAGCATTCAAAAATGACGGTAAAAAGGCGTCAAGAGCATTCGTGAGTTCTTCTTCATTAACCGCTTCAACCGCTTCGGGTTTTCCGCCTTCGGGAAAGTTACCCAATAAGGTGGATAGAAATTCGATCAATTCGGCTTCCGCGATAGGCTCACCTAAACAAATGCAGATCAGAAGTTTATAATGAAATTGTTGAAGGTGTTTGAAAGAGCGAATAAGGATAGAGTTTAGATCCAGCTATCCATATTAATTATAATTGGTTAGTATCATTCTGTGTAGACATGGGGAGTATAGAAGTTTATATCAGACCGCACGCGATCAAAATAAGGAACAGGCATATTATGAGTGTAGATGCCACTTTCAATGACAGAGGAGTAAAGGCCGCATTTGTATTCCATGAGTGATAGCTAAATGACGTTATACGGCACGAATAATCATCAGATGGCCCTGTTAGAGATTGTGTGCATTGTCGTCATCAGTCGGAATGACGGCATGTTCGCGAAACAAGTGTCGTCGTTTTCCCAGCGATATAAAGCCTGCTACAAATTTGCTTCATTTGATACATTTGCTATCATTTGCTACTACTACTACTACTACTACTACTACTACTACTACTACTACTACTACTACTACTACTCACTACTACTACTACTACTACTACTACTACTACTACTACTACTACTACTACTACTACTACTGCTACTACTACTACTACTGTCCAAGTTGCTATACCTAGTGAAGAAACATCCTCGTGTGTTTCTCCTACTGCGCATCCCATTTGGCGGCCAAAAGATAGCAACCGAAACCGGCGAACAAAAGTGCACGGTTAATGGTTTTCAAATTGAACTGAACTGAACAATGTATTATTAAAACTTAAGTCAAACTTGAGCTTGGCGCGCTGGACCATCGTCCGAGTCTCCAAGATACTTAATCCTACGAACGTTATAAGTCAGAACAGACATACCAATGGTTTGTAGATACGTGAACAAATATTCCGGTGGGATCTTGGTTGGATCTGTGGTTTTTTCTTGCGGATCCCGGAATTGCAATGATCGGCCCGTGTCACTGTCGCGTATCACGCACAGTTGGTTGAATGCGGCCTCAACGTCCTTGTACAGTATACCTTGATACGGTCGATAGTTGCAGTACACTAGAAAAAATGAGTTCAGCAGTTTGGGTAAAGTGTATTGATCAGTTTAAAACGACGAAGCTCATTTGGTAGAAAAAATTGATGAATGATCGAGAGCCCTTGATCGATAGCACAAGGAATGGTTTTTGACGCAGTCAAATAAATAATGAGTTAAAACAAAATTTGAACACAATTACCGAAGTGTGACTAATCACAGAGTAACGAATAATCACAGGAAATATATGAAGCCTATAGGCTTAATATATTCATAAGGTAAACCGGGCAACAATTAAATATATTAATCTCATAATTAGGTATGTGGAAAAGGTTCTTATCAAGCTGTGATCTCCAGTATTGAAAAGTTTATTTAGAGAGGACTACTGGCTGCCGTAGATGGTATATGCCCCCCCCCAGCAATTCACGACATTTTAAATC